ATGCTATGCGTGAGGTTCAGTGGGCGCGTGAAAATAAAAAAGGGTGTGTATTTAAAAAAAAAAGGTTGCGAGCGGTCGCTACTGCTTGCAAACACTTTTTGTGACGTAATTGGAGAGCAAGGAGGAGGCAATCAAGAGAACCCAGAAATATCACACCAAGAAGCTGCTATTGCACTGCTGCTACAGGTTACATTGCTCCATGTGATTGAAATCAAATTGCCATGAGAGGAACACCATCCCAGGACAACATATGATGTTGACAGCAAAATCTTCTGCTTTCCAATAAATTTCTTCAATGGTAGATTCTTCTTAAAATGCTTAACTAGTAAATCAAGTACAGTACTGCAATGGAGAATCAAACTTATATATAAAACCAACCACCTTCACTAGTAGCATGGAATTGATCATTATCAGCTCCTGCAATTATTTGTCCATACTGGTGTTGAGAATGAAGGAATACTAGAACAGTATATTTAAAAGTTTTGTTTTTACTATTTTGTTGGTCTCTGCTAGTACCAAGGTTGACCTCCTGGTTTTTGTGGGGTACAGGCTTGCAAGATAGTATCTTGATTGTAGGAGTTTCAGTACTGGTGCTAAATGATGTTACTCACATTGGTACCTCATCACTTCATCTGGTACTATTGCTGTGAGAGTTGATGATGTAGCTGCTGGTGGTGGTTTGAGAATCACCAGAGTGGTTAGAGCTTCTGCAGACGCAGCCTCTTCTGTGGCCCCTTTTCCTGTAAGAGTTGATATGGCTGCTGCTAGTTTAAGAAGTAGAGTGGTTAGTAGTGCTTCTACAGAGACAGATCCTTTTGTGGCCTCTTTTCTAGCTTCCACCAGAACAGACCTTGGCGTCCCTATCATTGATGGGGGGAGATTTTGACTATTAACAAGGATTTTGTAAATGTGCCACTAGCCAGTACTTTGCACTCCTGGTTGTGCCTCCACAACCACTCCTTGGAGGGTGGTGCTCCCCAGAAGTTATGATTCTGGCCATCTTGTATAGACATACTACACTAGCAACAACCAAATGTACGTTGCATATTTTTTGTGTAACTTTGACTAAAAAAACTGAATTGTACGGAAGGGCACATACTGAGTTTTTTAATCCCACAAGTTAAGGTTTGCACACATGTGCTCCTCACTACTAGCTGGTGATTAAGCATGTATTTAAAAAGATAGCCCAAAATTGACACACAGTAGAAAAACACATACAACATTAAGTAAGTGTCAACTTCTTACTCTAACAGCTATAACTTCTTGGTCCCCAATGGACACTAAAGTATGATAGACACATGAATCAAATCCCAGTAAAATGAGGACTCTAGAGGTCATATGGGGGAGTTGGGGGGTCCTAATAGTGGAATATATCAATATATGTGTACAAATATACTAGAATTAAAAATGTACAAATGGTACATCTGGAATCAGTTGGCCAAGCCTATGCAATATAGTAGTGCCTCCTCTAGTTGACAAGGTTAAATACTATAATTTTAACATTTTTTCTGCTGGTACTTTGTGCTCGGTACATAAAACGAGAACTGGAACTTTCAGCATGAAAATAATTGGAACTGTAACTTTTTTTGAAGGCTATTGTAAAATTATTAAAAATCATACCGTCCCCT